TTTTGTTGCTTTGTTTTGCTCTCTTGTTTTTTGTCCATATTATTATCTCTACAGGTCTATCTAGTCAAGACAGGCGGGATAAACAATCTGGAGGAGAAAACAATGGGACCGACTGTTCTGGGGAGACATGGGAGAGGGGAGGTGGGGGAAAGTAAGTGGGTGCTAAGAAATCCAGGGACAAGGGAACAAAAGTGATCCAAAATCGATGGTGAGGAGCGTGTAAGAGGTCTGGTAGGGCTTGATCAAGGGCAGTGTAACCAAGGGGAATTACTGAAACCCAAATGAAGGCTAAACATGACAGTGGGACAAGAGGACAGTAAAAGGAAATAAAGGAAAGAACTAGGATGCATATGTACATGCCTGTATTTATAGAAATCTAAATACAGGCATGTACATATGTGTGTGTGTGTATGGCAATGCGGAAATTGATCTATGTGCATATATTTATAGGTTTAGTATTATGGTAGCAGGTGGACATTGGGTCTCCATTCAAGTGCTCACTCAATGCAAGAACACTTTGTTCTATTAAACTGACATTCCATGATGTTCACCTTCCCTACGTGATTGCTGAAGACAAAGTGGGTATATAAGCAAATGTGGTGAAGAAAGTTGGTAGTGCCTGGCTATCAAAAATATAGCATCTGGGGTCGTAAAGGCTTGAAGATAAACAAGCGGCCATCTAGCTGAGAAGTAACAAAGCCCACATGGAAGGCACACCAGCCTGTGTTGTTATGAGGTGTTGATGGGATCAGGTATCAGGTATCAAAGAACATATTGTGAATGAGGAGTGTGGAATGGAGACTCAAAGCCCATCTGTAGACAACTGGATATCACCTTACAGAAGGGTCACTGGGGGGGAGATGAGCCAGTCAGGTGTATAGCACCGATGAAACATACAACTTTCCTTTAGTTCTTTAATGCTTCCACCCGCCCCCACGTCCACTATCATGATCCCAGTTCTGCCTTACAAATCTGGCTAGACCAGAGGGTGTACACTGGTATAGATAAGAACTGGAAGCACGGGGAATTCACGACAGATAACCCCCTCAGGACCAATGAGAGTAGATACCAAGAGGTTAAGGGGAAGGTAGGCTAGAAGGGGAACCGATTATAAGGATCTATATACAACCTCCTTCCTGGGGGTGAACAACAGAAAAGTGGGTGAAGGGGGACATTGGACAGTATAAGAACTGACAAAATGATAATTTATAAATTATCAAGGGTTCATGAGGGAGGGGGTTGGGGAGAGAGGAAAAATGAGTTGATAAGGGCTCAAGTTGAAAACATGTTTTGAGAATGATTATGGCACCAAATGTATAAAAGTGCTTGACACAATGGATGAATGTAGGGAATGTGATGAGTTGTACGAGCCCCCAATAAAATGATTTAAATAAAGGATGCAAATCTATATTCTGAATACTCAGTTTTATAAATAATAATACAAAGTACTTGAAATTCCCTCCAAGTTCTACAGTATCTCTTCAAAGCTCAAGATATAAAACAATGTAACTACCAACAGAATTGGGATTGACCATGTTGTGTAAGTTCTTCTATCTATCCTTAGCATCATCCTTGCTTAATGGTATGAGACCCTTGGGTTCTGCTGCGAGGTTGGAGGAGGAGGATGGTAGGAGCAGTGAAATGACGTTCTTGCTGAGGAGCTCTGTTAGCACAGTGGGGAAGGCCTGGTAGTTTCCTCCCCCAAAGATGGCATTTAGGACTGGCGCTTGCATCATGATGTAAAAACAGTTCTGCTATTCAAGCCTTTTCCTCACCAGTCCAATTTTCCTTTTTCATAATGAGCCTGCATGTTTTCCCCATGTTCTTAGAGAAAATCTATCACGATCATGCCTCTGGGATTCCCCCAAAACAGTTTTCATGAACTTGTGGACTGACTTCCCTGCTTTGAATTTGTGTGTTCCTGCAGATCTGTGAAGCCAGTTTTGAAGGCACTTTAATGAGACCAAGACAAGTGTATAACAGAATACTTAGCTGAATACTGATTCTAGAGACAGGCTTAAACACGCTTTTTGTGGATAAAGTCCCAATATGTTTGAACTGGAACCTTAGCAGCAGGACTTCTAGACATACTCCTGTACTTCAATGATGGATAAACGTATACCATCTAACTTAATAACCATTTAGTAATTAAAAAGGCACTGGTAATGGGTTCTAGGGTTTTATGCCCTCCTTTCAATGATGATACTTAATTGTCTCCAACAAAAGAATTCTTTTGATATTTTTTCATTGCTGGTAAGTTGATTCCAACTCATACCCTGTAGGGCAGAGTAGAATTGCGCCGGACGGTTTCCAAGGTTGCAAATCTTTACAGAGGCTGACTGCCCACCGTCCTCCCATGGAGCTCCTTGGGTTTGCACTACTCCCAGCCGTGTGTTAACAGCCTAGCATTTAACCCACTCTGCCACCAGGGGTCCCTTTTGATAGATATTATTGCTTTGTTACTTAGTTACTTGCATTCTTTTAAATTGAAGTAAATATTGGAATAAGGATTATAGTCATAATAATGTGAATGGTGAAAATGATAGTGTGGGTCAAGAAAATGATTCATTAATTGATGTCTATTAATTTTACAGATGTGGGAAGAGTATCCTGATGTTTATGGGGTGCGGCGGTCAAACCGTAGTAGACAAGAACCTTCACGATTTAATATTAAGGATGAGGTAAGGACGATTTTTCTGGGGATACCTTTAGACTTCTGTTACCTCACTCATCCTTTCAGACTGGTCTGTATTACCAGTAACAAGACTGTAAGCTCTGGGCATGGGAGGTTAGTCACTCTTACTGTGAGCTTTCTCTGACTAATAAGGGAAGATACTAGCTCACTGGAAAAAAATTAAGGACCAGAAAGATTATACAATATTGAATATTTACTAGAGTATTATACTGAACCAACTTCAAATTCTATTGAAAAAAAATTCATTTATTTAAAGTTTGTCATAGTGAAGTGCTTTATAGCGAGGTTAATTCCTTTTGCCCTGGATGCTTCTAGGTTTTGTTTGCATATAAGTAAATACAATAATGGAAATACTTTCAGATTTCTTCCTAAATGGAGGAAAGTTGTGGTTTATATATTTCCTTAATTTTAGTCTCCTAGTTCACTTTTTAGTGTGAAATACTCAGTTACTTTTAAAACTAAACGAGTTTTGAACATAATCTCATTTTGAGAGACTGAATAGATTGGTGAATATATAGTGGATTTTCTTGTGTCTTGTAGACATAGTAGATTCAGACTACTATTACCTTTCTCAATTTGTGTGATATTTTAGATTCTTTCCTTTATATTAAGTTTTTTGGGACAGATTCTGAGGAGATGCACTTTTGTCTCTGTAAGATCTCCCCTTTCTGCATTCTTAGGAGGAAGATCTTGCTATACTTCGCTATGTAACATCTTTCTGATAGAAGTGAAGTAGTGGTAGTTATAGGTCTGTGTACTTCTAAAATCGAATTTACTGTGATGTATGTGTTTGTGGTGTTTTGATTGACTTCTGAGCTGGTTTTCCTAAACTTTTTTTTTCTTTCTATAGTATGTAGGACTGGGTTGCTAAGCCATATTTTTGCAGCAATCCTGTTATGTGCTTAACACCTTTGTAGGACAGGAGACTGGCAGCAGTCGAAGTTTTCTACTTTGTCTCATTTTTAGGGAAAAGCGCTGGGCAGTGCTTATGATGGTATACTTTCCTGCACCTGCTACTGCTGGCTGAGTTCTGAGGGCTCCTGGTTCTCTCATGCTCATTTTGAGTCTAAAATGAAATTAAATAAAATTTAAATTCGACACTAGCTGCACTTGTGAGTGATGGGTAGCTGGTGACTACTGTATTGGACAGTATAGACAGGACATATCCATCATTGCAGAAAGTATTACTGGACAGTATTGTGCTCGAATTCAAGCTAAGACAAATATTTCCTGCAGATAACCCAGTAATAACAGACAGTAATTTCCAACATAAAGAGTGAGCCCTACGACACGAGTGAGGTTTTTCAGTTGAAAACTGCTACGGAGTAATGCTGTATTGACTAGATTGTTGGAGCAGGGCACACTCTTGTCCCTAAGAACTATGATTAAAGTCTGTAATCATTTTTCCCCCCTCACAAACTGAAGCCAAGTAGCGGGTCTGAGAGTGGCAGCCCAAAGAGAAGAGGCCAGAGGCAACTGAAGAAACAGTAAGTCTTTCCTGGGGGAATTTACTTGATACAGTAGTTGTGAATTTTCTTTCCCCACAGTGAAGCCATTTAGGGGCATGTTTGCATTTCGGGACCTGCCTTCATTGTGTCTTTAGTTTACTCCAGGTCCCAGGGTCTGCTGTTCTCTCACGAGTTGAGCTTTCCCAGACTTTGCTGCTGTTGCTGCAGCATTTTATGTTTAAGGTTCTCAGTTGAGGATGTGGAAGTGATCCATATGTGTTTGGTCTGTCTTGGGACAAACTCCAAAGTCTTTGTTTGCTTAGCCCAAGTATTTCCTTTGTAATACCAAGTATAGAGTATCTTTTCCAATGTCTCTCTATTCTAGTTAATTAAGGAACAGTGTTAAGTTTGTCAATTTTCATGTAATTTTTTTCTGTGTGTTGGCAAGGAAACATCTTAATAATGGACTATTTTTATGCTTATGTGGCATTACTCTATGACAAGTGATAGATTTTATATTTTTTATTTATTTTAAAATAGGGAAAATTATTTTGAGAATTAACTGTTTTGAACCCCTGGACTATCTAAATTTTACAGATCCTCTTAGAAAAATGTAACGAGAATTTAATCTACCCTCGTTTAATGTCTGCTCAGGAGACATTAGTCTGTGTTTCTACTCTGTTATTGAGGCCTTTGCTGAAATGTCAGTGTATTAGTCTAGGTACTTTGGAGAAACAAATCCACAGCAACTCATGTATAAGAGAGAGTTTTATGCAAAGAAAATGTGCATCACGAAAACATCCCAACCCAATGCTGCCCAAGCCCACAAGTCCAACATTAACCCATACCCAACACCAGTCCACAAAGTCCTCCACCTCACAAAACAGAGGCAATAATGCCGGCTGCAGGAGGAAAGCTGAGTCAGTGCACGTGTAAGCATCTCAGCACTGGCAGGGGTCTCCACACGGCTGCTCCAGCACCCAGGGCTGCATCGGGATAGATCCATGCGGCTTCTCCTTGGGGATGTCTTGTAGGAAATCCATCTTGCAAGCTGAAGCAGGGAACTGCTAAGGCAGCTGCACCCGATGCAACCATCACAAAACAAGAGACCCGAGAACTAGAAAGGCGAGGCTTTACCACCCATTTATCCCTCCGCCTTTCAACCAGCACCACATGTGATTATCGGCCAGGCTGGCACAATTAACTAACTCAGTCAGTCTTGACCACATTCTGGGAAATAGGTGCACAATCTAGTTACATTCTAGTGATTTCTTGAGTGATGGTATATGTGAAACCCTTAGCATCCCATTTTAATGACTTTAACCTGTGGGGGTAAAAGCCAATATTTTTGCTTCTTCTTACTGTGAATTAAGTGAAGATGTACCGTGTAGCTTATCAGTTTATATTGATCATTCATATTTTTGTTGTAACTCATACATTGCAATCACCTTGTACTTATTCCACTTCCTTTGTTTTCTGTTTCTATTTCTCCTTATTTTTCTTATGCAGTGAACTTTTTACCCCATTTCCCATATGTAGTTTATTTCAAACAAAATGTGTTTTTTCCCCAACAGTTTTATTGGCACATAATTTACATATCATACTGAATACTTCAATTGTTCAGTCCTATCAGGGGGCATTGTACAATCACCACCACACCAGTCTCAGAGCAACTGCCCTCCCCCATGGTTGAACAGCCTTTAAAATGAGTAGTGCAATCACGATCAGTTCTAGTAAACTCTGCACTTTTGATCTTTTTTTCTTTATTAAAACAGTTTCATTGACATATAATTCATGTACCATGCAATTCAGTGGCTTAACTATATTAAAAAGACTTGTGCAATTCATCATTGTTTTTCTGTATAATAAATCCCATGGGAGAAAGAGAAAGCTTTCTGTTTCCGAAAAGATTTTAAGCCTTGAAAATTCACAGGGACTATTCTACTGTTCTATAGGGTCACCGTGAGTCCGAATCAACTTAATGGTAGTGAGTTAAATATCACATTGGACATTCTTTGGTGTCCACCTTCAGTACTTAGGTTTCTTCCTCTTACCAGTTCTAAGAGCTCCCCAAAGTCTGCAACTCTCACTGGCCTTCATGACCCTTCTGCTGAGTACAATCTCTTAGTTATTTTCAGCTTGGCGTGTCGCCTCTGTATTCCAGTTTCCATGCCCGGGGCTTTTCTTAGGGATTCACCATGAGCTAAAGTTGTTCGTACGCTTGATGTATTTGGGCACTGGGCTTCCTGCCATTCTTTGGATAACTGGGCAGTATTGGTGATCTCAGGGTTTTTTTTTTTTCTGAGACAGTTTTCATCCCGAGAGCAGTATACTCAGAGGAGTTTGTACACCTGCTAAAGTAATTTGCAAGACACAACAATATTGGGCTTTCTGTGATCTGAGCAGGTGTAGCATACTGTTTTGAGTTTAGAATTGACAGACTCACGGGGTGGAAATTAAGTATAAACCTTGGGAATTGCTTGCGTTTATAAAATTGTAGAGATTTTAGACCTGTTTTTCTTCAAAAGAAATTTAATTTGGGGGGAATTGAGTTCAGACTTGAGAAAAGTTGCAAGAATAAAAATGGTATAAGAAATGTGTGTTTATAACATTGATGTGAAGGAGTGTGGACAAAGTGGAGACCCAAAATCCACCTGTAAAATAATTGGACAGTCCCTTGCAGAAGGGACACATGGAAGGGATAGTTCTAAGGTATAGCACTGATGAAAAATAACTACCCTCTAGATCAGTATTATATTACTTCCCCTTACCCTTATGGACTTTGTTTTACCCCATTATTCTTGTCAGACCTGCATAGGTCCATTTGTATAATCAAGATCAATCAATGCAAGAAAGCCAAGATAGATATAACCCTTTTGAAACCGTAATGGGAGCAATGATTCCATGAGGGTACAGGAAGATGGGGGAACCTGACAGCCATGAGGCCTGTATAACCCCACATGAGGGGAATGACAGTGAAAGTACAGGCAAAAGAATAAATTGGAGGATGTAAGATACAGCAAAAATAAATACATACACACATAAATAAGTTAAAACATTAATACATAATATTGTAATTAGGGTTCCTAGAGGGTAGGATGGGGAGGCATAATAAAGAGCTGATAACAAGGAGTTCAAGAAGAAAGAAAATGTTATAAACTGGTGGCAAAGAAAAAAAGAAGAAAAAGAAACGTGGTAGCAGCAATTGTACAATTATGCTTGATTAATTGAAGTATGAATTGTTACAATGAGGTCCCAAGAAAATGATTAATAAAAAATTCTTTTAAAATGCTGTATGCTTAAACCAGATTCACCTATGATTGACATTTTTATCTAATTTGCTTTATCATTTGGATTATGCACATACAATGTCTATATATATATATTTGAACCATTTGAAAGTAAGTTTTTATGTATTTTTACCCATAAATACTTACTCCTAAGAATCAGATTGATCTCTTTCAAAAGTATAGTGTACTTTGAAATGGAATAATTTTAACATTCTACAATACGTTTGTCTAAGTCATACTCCAGTTTTACATTTAATCCAATGATTTTTAACATTTTCAAATTTTTTGTGATGAAATATGCAATGAAACATTTGCCATTTCAACCATTTTATATTATAATTCCAATAATATATAGCATTTTTCATCTCTACTAAAATGTAATAATTTTCATGTTTCTTTAACCTAGAGTATTTTCACAGCCATTCTCTGCTTTTATGGCATTGATAGTTTTTGAAGAATACACTTTTAATAGTTGCCAATGTGAAAATTGAGGATGGTACATAATATAAATTTCTTGCTTCAGGGAAAAAAAAACACCATTGCTACCCCATGTTAATGGTTTATAAGCTATCTTACCTGTGCATGGGCCATGGATTCGCCATCTCACCCCATTTATGGGACTTGACCTGACCTCAGGGGGTAATCCCTGATTTATAGTCAAACGAAACCTTGAATTTTACTTAACTCCCTCATGCTGTTTTTATCTTTAAATTCTCTTTTTCATGTAATACTTAATAATATTATCCAAGTTCGGCAAATGTTGTATGTAATTTTGCTGGTTAATTTGTTACAAGTGTTACTTCAAGCCAAACTATAATGGCTCCATAATCATTTCTCCCAACTGGAATCTTAAAATACCTTAGCCGTCATCACGTGATGCTTTTTTCTTGGTATCATAGCTATTCTTAGTGTTTTGATTCAGGAAGTTATCATAGACTTAACATCGTAAAAAGGAATTCTTAGCCCAATTTCTTATTTGGAACTTGTTCATGAAAGCTATCCTCTGAGGGAGAATCTGCTGAGAATTGAAGTTCAGCAGCTTCCCCATTTTTCCAATTTTCTTTCTAAAGTGAAAGAGACAGAAACTGCCTTCTTTTGCCTCTTGGAGACAGTCATAGCAACGCCTTGGCAACTATGCTGTGGCTCACATCTGTCACATCAGGGCGGGGGAGGGGCCTTCAGAGCGTTTGTCAGAAGATTGCTTTGCCTTTTAGTTCCATTTTTCATGAACTTTTTGAAGCACACTCATATTTTAAAGTAATTTTAGTCCATGTTGTCCTTAACAGTTTAGATTTGTGTTGTGTGTCTTTCCAGGTTCCTGTCAATCAACTATATCCAGTTGATTTGCATTCTGATTTTTAATTGTTTACATTATCTTGGGAACTTTTTTGCTAAATGTGGCCATTTTCCTCCTCAGTTCCAAAATTTTGGCAAAAATCCCATTCCATTCTAACTTCTATTAGGGTTAGCTCTGGCCATCCCAGTCTTTTCTGATACATGTAGCTTTTCACTCAGTGTCTCCTAGCTTAGATTCTTCTTCCTCCTTGTAGCCCCTTTGCAATGACTCAGTGGAAGAGTCTACTTTTCCTCATAAAAAATTAGATTTTATAAAAATTACTGTTTGTACTTGTGTAAGCCGAGTTTTTCACATTTTTAATGCAGTTTTTGTGGTTAAAATTAGGTGCCTTGGCTGATATTCGGGTTGGCTTATGCTCGAGTATATACTGTAAGTAATGTGAGACTGAATGGTGGTTTAACATGTGACAGAGCCCTATAACGGAGGTGTATAATTATTGGTCACTTATCCTTCTTCTCACCATCATTGCTTTCTTATCATTTAGTAATGATGCTTGTCATTTACTTTCTTCCTTTTTATTCTTGAACATTATAACAAGACTTCAAATACACATAAACACAAATTTAAGTAGGCCTTGAGGAAGCCAGGCCCATTGTTTAGCCCCTCCAAGAATGTATAAGACTTTCCGTTCATATTCTTTGGTTTTAGGTGGGATATGGTGGGGAGTACTTGGGGTTTGCCCTATGAACAAGCAGCTTATTCTCATTGGGCTTCTGTTCCTTTCCTGTGTTGAAGGCCTTGAACCAGTTGATCTGCCAATTTTTTTCATCATCTCTCATATTTGGTGATTCTTAGTCCCTCTGTTCGTCTTAAGTTTGTATATCTGTAACTTCACTGGAAAGTTCTAAGTTCAACGTCCACTTAATGTTTGCTGTCATGTTAATTTCCCACAGTTATATAAGTGGGCATCATTGGCTGTGCGCATTTAATTTCTCAATTCCTGGAGAGTCATACTTCTCTTCTGATCTGTTCTTTCATGATTCTTAATGTTCTTTCAAGCTTGCTTCCCAATAAATCACTTCTCCACAGTTTGACTGTGAGCTTCTTTTGAAAGATAAACTGTTCTGGACCTGTTCTAAAAGAAAATGCCTACTCCTGCCAGCACCTTCTGGTCTTTGAATTCTTAAGCAAATCTGTATTGTTCTAGACTCTAGGGAAGCAGAATAAGATAGGTGCCCAATAGTGTAATTAAATATAAGGTAGGTTTTGTTTTAAACAGAGTCAATTTATTAGAAAAGTGGTAGTAGACCTTACTGTCTTAGAAGTCAGTTTCCTTGCCTTTGTGCTAAGCTCTGGTATAAAAAACCAAAACAACAAAAAAATTCTTACCTGCAAGAAAGTCAGCTAATGTTGAAGAGATGGAATGGATATGTAGGCACTAGGTGCTAAGAGAACTTGAGTAATGCCATAAAAATGCCTCAGTAGGAAAGGCTCTCTTTTCTAAGGTCCCTGCCAGTTCAGGGATAGGGTGACTCTTGTATAAGGTGACCAGATTTTAACACTGGTAAAGCTGGACACCATTGATAAAACTCATATCCTGGCGAAATAGCCACATAGCAGCTGAAAACCGTATACTGTAGCTTGTCGTGCATTCTTTCTAAAAATCGGAACTTTTTAAAAATGCCATGGGACATGGGAAAAATTGTTAAAAATCGGGACTGTCCGCCCAAAGCGGGACGCCTGGTCACCTTACTTGTAGCTTGTAGAATCTTCTCAGTAATCTGCAGAGCAGCCACCCTCATTCAACGTGCTCCCACGCTTTAGCTCATACTTCATCTTCTCCATGAGGAGTTTCCATTTGACTTTAGACTTTGGCAACATTTGTCTTTAGCATGACTTCATTCCCTAGGCAGAGACCCCAAAGCACAGTTGTTGATCAAGAAACTACAGGCACTTGCCTATAACCTTTTACCTAGGAATTTCACGCCTGGTAGCTATTACAAATGCCTTCTCTACAAGTGAGAATTGAGTTAGGTTTTGTATTAACTTTTTTGGTCTTCATGTAAGATTGACACACTGAGGTAGTTGGGTTCCTGGAAGATATGGCTTTCAAGCCTTATACAATTTTATGGAGTAAAGGAACATACTTAGTTACACAGATTATCTGGTTTATTATAGTAAAGTAAATTTAGGGACTGTTCTAGCAAGGTTGAAATGCCTAGTACGTAACCTTCTCACCAACCCACTGCCTTTGAGTTGATACCAACTCAGAGTGATCCTACAGGATAGAGTAGAACTGCCCTAGAGGGTTATGGAAGCAGACTGCTAAAACTTTCTCTTGTGGATTGGCTGGTGGGTTTGAACCACTGACTTCTTGGCTTATTGTTGAGTGCTTAACCACTGGGCCCCAGGCTCCTTCGTATCTAGGTTAGTGAGTCTCAAGTTTCTAATCAGCAACATCAGTATTATCGTGAATTTGTTAAAATGTAAATTCTCAGGCCTCATACCAGACCTTCTGAAGCAGAAATTCTGTGACAAAGGCTCAGAAATCTGTTTAGTAAGCTCTTTAGGTGGTTCTGATACACAGTGAGATTTGAAGACTGCTGGTCTAATAGGTATTTTTCCTATTTCCTTGTCAGTGGTAGCAGTGAATCACAATGGAACATGAGAAGTTGGATGGCAACTTTCTGGTTTTAGAGAAAATTACTTAAAAAATACATCTTAGTTACGGTTTTTAAAATTTTCTTAAAATAGCACCAGAAGGATCACAACTCAAACTGAATGGACCTCAAATAAATCTTTTAGCATACTATTTAAAATATGCACGTTCTATCTTTGAGATAGTCAGAATGAAGTTGGTTTTCTCATGTTGTTTACCTGGAAGAATGTAAGACAAAATATTTTGCTTTTGATTGCAGAGAAAAATGGAAACGGGAGGCCTCAGAAGATGAGCAGGATCAAGGCACTAGTGCAGAGAGTGAACCAGAGCAAAAAAAAGTGAAATCCAGGAGACCCATCCCCAGAAGGTGGTACTGTATTTTTGCCTGATGAGCATCTGTGCTCGGACTAGCTTACTTTGCATTCTGGAACAATCTCCGTAATTTTGGCTACAGTGTGTGATGACTCTGGGCTTTGAAAGTCTGTGGTTCACATTATATCATCCCCAGCCATAAGGTTCCCACAAATGGGCTAAGTCAATGTGGACATTGAAATGATGGTGTCTAACTGACGGTGAATGGTTATCGAGTCTTACTCCCCGGCAGACAGACATAGGAGGGGAGAATATACCTTTTAACTTAAAGAAAACAACCCCCCCCCCCCAAAAGGAAAAAACGAAAAAAGAAAAATCTCCCTATGTCTTTAGTGTAAAAATTCTTTTAGGAAGAAGGAATTCATAAGTTAAAAACAGTGGCAGGTTTAAAGCATTTACTCTACTGTTAATTACTTTATTCATATCTGTATAACATTAAGCACAAAGTTCTGAGGATACAAAGACAGGTAGGCTGAAATGCAAGGAATTTTGATTATTTGGCTCAGACAGATGGTAATACAAGTTACTGGTGAGAGAGACAGAAGGCAGACAAGCCCCAGGAAAAGTTTACCTTCTTTCAGTATTAAAAAGGATGAAGTGTCAAACTGTGACTTACTGTCCAAATCTATCCCGCTCACTGCCTGTTCTATGACCTGTAGCTATGAGTAATTTTTATAGATGATCATTTATTTATTTATATATTTTTAGGGAGATTCCAACATTTATTTGGGGCAATGGTACTATCTCACAGAATACAGAACAAAGACTAAATTCATTGGATAAAGCTAGTCTAAACCGTACAAGATTCAGTGTGATAAACATGTAAAGAAATGAGCAGGGTTCCTGGCATATGAAAAGCATGTAGCAGATGCTTCTCGCCTCTACTTTTCTTCTTTTAAATGTTGGGGGCAACTCTTATCACAATCCATACATACATCAATTGTGTAAAGCACATTTATATTCGCTACCCTCACCATTCTCAAAATGTTTGCTTTCCACGTAAGCCCCTGACATCAACTCCTCATTTTTCCTCCTCCCTCCCCACTTCCTCTTCCCTCATGAACCCTTGAGAACTTATACATTATTATTTTGTCATATTTTACACTGTCCCACATCTCCCTTCACCCACTTTTCTGTTGTCCGTCCCCCAGGGACGAGGTTATATGTAGGTCCCTGTAATTGGTTTCCCCTTTCTACCCTACTCTCCCTCGACTCTCCCAGTATGGCCTCTCTCACCACTGGTCCTGAAGGGATCATCCTCTCTGGATTCCCTGTGCTTCCTGTTCCTATCTGTACCCGTGTACATCCTCTGGTCTAGCCGGATTTGTAAGTTAGAATTGGGATCATGATAGTGAGGGGGGAGGAAGCATTTATAATAGAGGAAAGTTGTATGTTTCATCATTGCTACACTGCACCCTGACTGGTTCGTCTCCTCCCTGTGATCCTTCCATAAGGGGAGTAGACGAACATTTATAATTGTTATGAAGGCAATTAAAATAAAAGGAAACCAAATTTACTGCCATTGGGTCAATTCTGACATGTATAAGCCATGTAGGAGAGGATAGAACTGCCTCTTGCGGTTTTCCAAGACTAACTTAATGGGAATAGAAAGTCTCATTTTTCTGGTGGTTTCTAACTGCTGCCCTTGTGGATAACAGCCCATTGTATGATCAATCCACTATGCCACATGATGATAGGAATACTAAATCTGAGTTTCAAATAAGTGAAATTATTGGGCAAAATATATTCTGTTCTCATTGTAAATAAGTATAACAAAAAATGTTCTTAGTGACTATTATAGTGAATTTCATCAATAAAACATTTGTACTCTCTAGCTAATAGAAAATATTCTCTAGTTAGGTAATTATCTGTGTAAACAAACAAACCAATTGCATTGAGTCAATTCTTACTCCCAGCCACCCTGTAAGATGGAGTAGACCTGCTCCTTAGGGCTCCCCAGGCTGTACATCTTTACAGAAGCACAAAACCTCAGCTTTGTAGTGGAGTTGAACTGCTGACTTCACAGTCAATAGCCCAACTTAAAACCCAGTACACCACTACAATTGGTCCCTGTGAAGTGTCCTTGATACGGCTTCTTAACCTCAAAGTCTAAAATCTTTAATTTCTGGCTATTTACAGCCACTGTTCCTGCATCCCGGCAGTAAAATTCATCTGAGTTTGTCTGTTGTTTTCCAATTGAGTTAAATCTCAGCCCTGGGATTTTACTCTCAATTTTGCCTTCTCAGTTGTGTCTGTTATTTTCCTAATCCCTGATCATCTCTGTAGGATTAGGTATAGTAGGTATAACAGCAACTGTTTCCCTTCCTTTCACCAATTTTCACCATTGATAGACTATTTGGGAAAAATTTCCTTAAGTGAGCTCCTGGACTATGGCTCTCTGACTGGGCTGTGGATTGGAATTACTCCAGGAAATACCTCCTTAATCTGTCTCAGTAGATCTGTAGCACAGTTTCTTAGACTTTTCAGCTATATTTTTTGCACTCAAGCTAAACTCACTGCTATCACATTGATTCTGATCCAAAGCAACCCTATATAGGGGTTTCTGACACTAAATCTTTTTTTTTTTCATTCTTTTTTTTCTGACACTAAATCTTTACAGCATCAGGTAGTCACAGCTTTCTCCGGTTGAGTGACTGGTGTACTTTGAACCACCGAACTTGCAGTTAGCAGCTTAAGAATAATACATGTCCTATTATTTCTTGATCTTTTCCCCTTATGGTTCCATAGTCTTCATCTCATTCTGTAATTGTCTTTCCTTATCTTAGAAATATTTTCATATCAGTACATGGAAAATAATAATTTTATGGTTAAACAATATTTCACTCATTTTTAACTTTTTTCTAGTTGGTGAACATTTAGGGCAGTGGTTCTCAACCTCCCTAATGCCGCGACCCTTTAATAGAGTTACTCATGTTGTGGTGACCCCCAACCATAAAAATATTTTCGTTGCTACTTCAGAACTATAATTTTGCTACTATTAGGAATCGGGTAACCCCTGTGAAAGGATCATTCGACCCCCAAAGGCATTGCGACCCACAGGTTGAGAACTGCTGATATAGGGGTTTCCTCTTCATAAATTTTTTTTTATTATCGCAAATGATGTTACTGAAACCTTTTGCTGTCCAGTTGGTTCTGACTACAGTGCACAGCTTATGCCTGTGAGGGTATGTATGTGTAGGATAAATTATTAGGAGTTGAATTATTGTGTCTGTAAGTATGATACAGATATTTACAAGTTGCCCTTTAAAGGGGTCATCAGCAATATGCTGCACGTGTGTTCTAACATCTCCAGTGATGCTAATGAAAGTTGAAGCCCATGGTCTCAGAACCCTGGTGGTGATCTGTAAATGACTGAGGACTAGGAGCATTAGAATGACCTTTGGGCTTAAGTTCAAAACACATATTTAAGGTGAATGAGAATTTTAGGGAGTGCTACTCAGGATTGTGCATTTTTAGTAACTCTTTAAGTAAATGCTACATATGTTCTGTTTCTTCTGGGAAAGTTGTACAGATTTGAAGTAGGCATCAAATGATAGAGTAAAAACATTATCATGTTTTCTTTATTCATTTTAGAACAGTACCTAAACCCCGTGTTAAAAAGCAGCCTAAACCTCAACGTGGAAAAAGAAAAAAACAAGATTCTTCCGATGACGATGATGAAGATGATGAAGCTCCTAAAAGGCAAACTCGTCGCCGAGCAGCTAAAATTGTTAGGTAAATTGTGCCCCATGGGATTTTCCTGGGTGTGAGGGCAATAGTGTAGGTGATTCAGATTTGCATCTGACGTGTCCAAGATTGTACCTGTGGCCTGATATTGTATTCATCAATTCCGTCTGCTTTTTGGCAGAAGTTGAGCTAGAAAGCACGTGGAAAGCATGGCAGCTGCTCATGTCAAGCCTTCACTTCTTTCTTCTTTTTTTCAAGCCTTCATTTCTGTAAAGGAGCTGCTCCAAATTCATGTTGTGTCATTGTGCCTTAGTTGCAGTATCCTCAGTTAATAAACACTGCTTTTTCAGAAAAGCCATTCAGAAGACAGTTCAATTCCGAATTTTGCTCAATGAATCACTGATTTTTCAGAGGTTCAACTTATTTATTGATCTTCGGGTACTTTGGGTATCATTTTTCTGAGGTTACTAGTCGAATCTGAAGCATTAATAGAAATGGAAATAAAGGAGTATATATGTGTAAACATTTTATTTTATAGGAACCAAAAGACATTTGACTTTCTCTTGTATGATATGCAGATTTCTCTTGGTTTAAGTAGAGTTGGAAAAACTGAGCCCTGGAGATGTAACTTGCTCAATGGTGCTCAGTTAATATTTACAAAATTATGTTTATTTTTGAGTATACTAATGTATAGTTTAGCATTTTTTCTTAATGTCACATTGTATCCAGAAGACCCAGACCTGTTGCTTTCAGATCCAACTCACGGTGACATAATGGGTCAGAGTAGGGTTACAAGACTTGGATCTTTACTGAAGCCGACTGTCACATTCTGTCTCCCAAGAAGTGGCTGGTGGGGTTGAACTTTCTACTTAAAGTGTGGACCATTCAACAGAAATGGTTTAACTGTGGTGCCACTTGGGCTCCTTGGACTGCATCCAGGATGTGTTTTTTTTCTTGGTAGGACTCCTAACCCATTAATAGTAAACATACAAGGGGGTACCCCAAAAAAACCTGGTGGTCATTTTGTTTGTTATGGTCATTTGTTTTTTTGATGTGAGGGCGATGGTGTATTTGGAGTTCATTCCTCCAGGTCAGACTGTTAATCAAGCTTTCTATGTCGAGGTTCTGAAAAGATTATGTAACAGTATAGGACAAAAAAGGCCTTATCTGTGGCACACGGGGGACTGGTTTTGCCACCATGACAGTGCACTTGCTCACGCAGCCATCTCAGTGTGTCATTTTTGGCAAAAAGCAGCATGCCTATCTTGTCCCATGCACCTTACTCACCTGACCTCATTTTGTGCGACTTCTTTTTGTTTCCACGAATGAAGAAAGTGATATGAAAGGACAGTGATTTGAGATTTGATGTAAAAGAGGTGAAGAAAAAAATGAGGGAGGTGCTGCTGATAGCCATCCAAACAGATGTATTTGAAAAAGGTTTCCAAGAATGGAATCTCAGATTCGACAAATGTATTAAGTGTAATGGAGAGTACTTTGAAGGTGATACGGCTGTTTTGTACAAAAAATTAAATACGTAGCTTTTGGGGAAAATTCCAGGTTTTTGGGAGTACTCCCTTGTATGATAGACATTTACTATCTCAACAATTCAGGAATACTTGAATTTTATATTCTTCCTATTGAGATACAAGTAAAGAGTCGAAATGCTTTAAATGACGCATTTCTCTTTGCCAAACAAAATGGGAGCAATATATTTCTTTCATTATAGTTTTCTGTATCATGCTTTACATAAGGCATTAGAATTAAAATTAGTGTTTATTTTGAAATGTGAGTTAACTTTCTGTAATTATGTATAAATAAGCAATACTTTAAGGAAGAAAACAAACAAACTCTGAAGTCCAATGACTGGCTGATCTATAAAATAATATGTTGGGATCAACAGAATATAGTGTGTCTGCCCCCTGACTGTGGCCTGTGGCCACACTGTAAAGATGGAGCTGATCTCACCTCCAGCTCCTGTGGGCAACTTTCAGTCAAACAATAGATAGACCAGTCAAGGGGACAGCAATACCAGGGAGGCATGTATTTCTTAGAGCATTCAGTTGTATGAGATCAAAAGGGCCGTCATGTTTGCCCACAAGTAAAGTTCAGTAAATAGGAAGGTGTAGGACAGGATGGAAAGGGGAAACACAAGGAGGAAGTAGGAAGAGGGCTGCTGTATCGTGGGAAACAGAATGTTTAAATTGCTGAATAGAAAACCAATTTGTTCTATGAACTTTCATGAAAATCTCTGTGTGTGTCTGTCTTCTCTCTCTAACACACACACACACACACACACACACACACACACACACACACACACACACACGATCCCTTCGTCTAGTGATGGTATCGATGGTGGTAGCTTCTCATTTAGCCAGTATAATTTGTCTTGCAGTTACAAAGAAGACGATGACTTTGAGACCGACTCCGATGACCTCATTGAAATGACTGGCGAAGGACTCGATGAGCAGCAAGACAATAGTGAAACTATTGAAAAGGTGTTGGATTCCAGAGTAGGCAAGAAAGGAGGTGTGTGCCTTTGGGGAACGGGTTGCTTCTTACAGCTGCTTATTAAGGCCAGGTTTTTAACTGAAGAATTTCAGTCCACACTCATCTTTCTTGTTCAACATGAAAGTCTTTTTCCGACCACGTCCTCAAGTCCCACAGCTGGGGACCAGTGGTTATGTTCAAATGTGCTAGGGATTTTAAAAGTAAGCTATAATGGTTATTATAAAGCCATAGTGTAGTAGAGGTATTTACTCTGTAACATTAAGCAGCTCCACCTTTATTTGGTTATTTCTGAATGTCCATGTAAAAGTATCAAACTACAGAGGAACATTTTCTAAGGGTGGTTTTTTTTTTTTCACTCTAATTGAGATATCTTGAAGCTCCGTGCTTGAAAGCAACCTTTTATGAAGTAACACAAATTAATACTTAAAGCCTTTTCCTTTTCCTTAAAAATTTCAGTTTCACTTCAGTTGGGCAGTGAGGGAGAACATTGGCTGGGTTGGTAGGTGAGGAGGTACTCTGATTATCTTACCTATTGTTAATATTCATGAGGAAAGGGATTTATTTTCTAAGCGAGTAGGGGCCAAAACGAAAGGATGTTGCCATTCTATTTTTACTATATTTGGACACAGGATTTTTTTACTTTACCTGCAATTTTGGAGTAATTTATTAAATATGAAAATCAGCTTTTTATGGGGAGGGATGAAATTGCTTCTACCCTTTGTAGTTTTATATTCCCATTTTGTATGTGCTTTACCCAAAAAAGGGACTGTTAACAGATTGCTTACTTGGGAAGTTATCTAAGGCCTGGTTTATTGATAAACTCTCTTTGAAGTTTAACTGGGTTCTTTTGCAGCAACTGGAGCTTCTACTACAGTCTATGCAGTTGAAGCTAGTGGAGACCCTAGTGCTGACTTTGACAGTGAAAAGGATGAAGGTGAAGTCCAATACCTCATCAAATGGAAGGGTTGGTCATATATCCACAGCACATGGGAGAGTGAAGAATCTTTACAGCAACAGAAAGTGAAGGGCCTAAAAAAACTAGAGAACTTCAAGAAGAAAGAGGATGAAATCAAACAATGGTACATTTCCCATCCTGGATTTAAAGAAGTTTATTTGCAGCCTGAGAGAAGGGAGATTTTTAACGAATGCATGGAGAATATAGCTATGCAGGATCTCAAATTCTGTTTTGTTCAGATGGACTAGGGGCTATTTGCATTTACACTTTTATAAAATTGTGATCTGAAGACATGTGCTTTTGTATATAGTGACCAGGTGTATGGAATTTAATAGTGACTATACTATTGAGCACTTTTCACACATGCCTTTAATCCTCACAATGAAACTGTGACATTCATACTACCATGGTCCCTGTTGTACTGTAGGAAAATCAAGACACGGAGTTAGCCAGTAACAACTCTGCAAGGGTTGGCAAGGTTTGAGTTCTGGCAGCCTGCGTCTAAAGCCTTCATAAGCCTAAGCACTTTGCTATTTGATGTGGGAAGATGTGAGGAATTGTTATTCTAGAACTCAACGATTATCATACACAGAAGTTAAAATTTGGGTTTTACGCCATATGTGTAATGATAGGAAGGAGACAATTCAGAGAAATTCTAAAATTGCGGGCATGTTAGATTCCATATGAAGCCCCATGTCTTTGGAGCAACAGCACCAACACACCTTAGTTAAGTCACCTGAGTATCAAGTCACCCTAAGCCATTCTGCTCAGGTTCTTCTGTGTTAGTGTTAGAAACAGATGGGTTCTAATGATAGTATTACTACTATACAAAGTATCCTTTTTAGCAAACCAGAGATGATATTATTTATATACCTGAGTTACGGGTCTAAGTTCCGTAGGTGGTGGTGTGTGCTCGATTTCAAACTTAGAGATGGCGGTATAACCCCACCCCTCCACCCACTGATACTATGTGAGGAAAACCCGGGCAGTCTGCTCTGCCCGGGGACAGGCAGGACGGTCAGGGTCACCTGGGGAGCAGTTCTGCTGTGTACCACCACGGGGTGGCCATGAGCTGGAATCGACTTGATGGCCGCTTAAAACATCACATCGGGTAGGTTATAACTAACAGTCCTCAGAATAGTAATAATCTAATTTCAAGTTGCTGCTGTTTTCCTTTTAAAGGTTTTTGGAAGTAAGAATAACTAGTTTTCAAAAAAAGCCACATTAAATCAATCTCAAAACCCATACACATATGAGAAAAGGTATGTTTTTATTTTTTTATAATCTGGAAGACAGCTTCATTATTCCTATTTATTTAGATTTATAAATTTGTCAGATGAAAAGTTGCTTTTAAGTTTCTCTGTGGATAAGGTCACCTTAGCAAGGTGAACAGAAGTAACCAATGATAAAGTTTTCAAAAACTATATATATTTTTTTGGTGTGGGTAAAGTCTAGCCTAATTACTAGTTAGTAAAAGATTACTAAGAGACAGAGGGGAGAAAATGTAAGTTTTTATTAACTGCCTTTGACTTTTGCTTTGATGTATGTGCATGAATCTCCAAAAATCTAATTAATATGTACTTTTTCTGTGTACTTTTTATCCAGGCTAGGGAAAGTTTCTCCTGAAGATGTAGAATACTTTAACTGCCAACAAGAGCTGGCCTCAGAGTTGAACAAACAGTATCAGATAGTAGAAAGAATAATAGGTAAGTACAGAGAAACTTATTCTGGCAGTTTCATCCAAGGAATAAAGACTGTTACTTTGGGGAGTAATGTAAATAAATGCATTTTTGTGGGTTTTCTTTTGAGAATTGACAAATAGCGTAGATTTATTTGAGGGGCAAATCCAACCTGATTTGCTTGTAAGTTTGTATGAGGGAATGAGAAAAAGAGGCATCACGGATGCTGTGCAGTTTTTGGCTGTGCAGATACTTGGAGAAGACCAAGGTGCCTTTGCTGAAATGGAATGACTCAGGGAGAATCTGGTTCTGGGAGCGGACATGAAGAGCCCCTTTTGCTATTTGTAGTAGGTTCGAGTTGGTGCACTAAGTGGAGACTGTTGTTGAAGTTGGTAGTATAGGTGAAACTGGAATTCTTGACTGGGGCTGGAGGGTTAGCATTGAGAGTTATCTAAATGTAGATAGTACTTAACACTCAAGATTTCATGATACAAGCAGAAACCGAGTGTGTGTGGTATGAAGGGAAGTCTGGGGACATTATAGGTTTTGGAAGTGAGAAAGAAGAGGAGAAAACAGCAAAGGAGACTTAAGAAAGAAAGCTAATGAGTGAGGAGAGGAGGGAAAGCCAAGAGAGAAACAGAGAAACATAGTGGAAGCCAAGGTTTTCCTGTGGTTGAGAAGTAGGAAACAGTAGTAGTCAGAGAGGATGAAGACTGAAACTTGGTCCTGGAATTTGGCAGAAGGTGAGGGGCTGGTGAAGGGAGTTCTGGTGGTGTGGTGGGGTAAATGTTGGGTTGTTAATCACAAGGTCAGCAGTTCAAATCCATCAGCACCTCTTAGGGAGAAAGATGATGCTTGATACCCCTCGCCCCCCTCAAGATATACAGTCTTAGAATCCCTATGACTCAGAATCTATATGAGTGTTTTTTCAGGGATGGGGAACTGCTGAGGTAGATTTATAGATTTGTGGGGTGTAGTCTTGACTGTGGGAGGTCCAGAAGAATAAGAAGGGAGCTAATAGAGGTAATAACAACCCTTCTGGGGTGCTTCGTTATGACGAGAGCGGAAACAGGCTGGTAGCTACGACCATTAAAGACTTGTTTTCTTTATTCGTAAAGCTGTGAGACAGTAGGGTGTATTTGTGTGCTAAGTGGGTATAAATTGGTATTTTGACGGCCATTTGTCTCATTCCCTCTCCTTTGGCTATGGTAATAATGTCTTTCTCATTTTATTTAGCTGTGAAGACAAGTAAATCTACATTGGGTCAAACAGATTTTCCAGGTAAGCGAGATCTTATTTATAAATGTTTATCATTTAGGAGCAGTTCATGTTTCACAAAATCTTTACTGTATTGCTACCTGATGTTCCATGGATTTGACATCAAACAGGATATCATTTCCCTTATTTAATTGATTGGTTCCTGATCTATACATTTTTTATGTATGAAATAGCTCACAGTCGCAAGCCGGCACCTTCAAATGAACCCGAGTATCTATGCAAATGGATGGGACTGCCCTATTCAGAGTGTAGCTGGGAAGATGAAGCCCTGATTGGGAAGAAATTCCAGAGCTGTATCGACAGCTTCCACAGTAGGAACAACTCAAAAACCATCCCAACAAGAGAATGCAAGGTGTGGTGATTGCTGCCTCTTGTTTTTTATGGGAAAGATATATTGATATAAAGGGTGAGTCACACAGATATCAGAAAGAGCAAATATTATAAAGGTAAAAGTTGATTCTCCTTTTGAAGTGAAAGAGGACTTAACCTTAATATTAAAAATAATGAGAGCAGAAAGGATGATGCATTCAACACCTTCGCTTATTTCTGTGTTCTTACAATTACAGAACTAGAAGTCGGGATAATGTGGGGAACACTTGAGAGGATTTAAGCACTTTAAAAAAAGAAAGAATAGGAAAGAGGGTCTCTGTCACTGAGTTCTAAGTTAGAAACTAAACATACAGATTTTTATTTGCTGGATCAATTGTAAATACCCCCTCCCCCCCAAAAAAATTCCTGTTTTTCTCTCAGATTTATCCCGTCTATAAAGTGGTGTGGTTGGATGCTCAGAGTGAATGAAAATATTTATAAGCTATGAGTTCTGTCTTTGAGAAGTTGATTTTCTGTTAGGGACACCAGCTCATGGTCTTTGAAAAGCAGAGTAAGATTGAGGAGTCAAAAGAATTTGGAAGAAAATATGTGCTCTAAAAAGCATGCAGGTAGAATAAAGTGAGCTTCAGTGGCCATTGAACCTGGCTCTGGCCCGGGCCTTTGGAAAATGCATTGGTACTGTCTAGACAAAGTCTGGACAAAGTGTATTGTCCTCCCATGAAAACTTTCAAGATGTTCTTAAAGTGTAATCACAGTACTTTCAGGAGAAAGGGTTGGAAAGGATGGTGATACTGATAAGTGCATGTGGATCGAAATGTTGATTGTCTTGAATATCATAAAAAGTATTTTAACTTTATTTTGTGAGTAGTGGGATGCCTACTTTAGTGGCTAGAAAAGCTAGATGAAGACAGTGTTTTGTTCAGAAAGCTTCATCTAATCGTACGGTGGTGGAGACTCTGGAGTCGGCAATTATAATAGCTAGAAGCTTCAGCCAGTAAAACGTCACAAAAATCCAGGCCTATTTAGTGTGAAAACAAAGGGAGTAGTAAGAGTGAAGAGTTGCGTAGGAGAATCATTATGGAGAAGGTTTGGAAGGGGATGGACAACTGCATTTTGGGGGATTCGTGTAGGGAATCCGATTATAGGCACAGCTAGATGGACACCTATCAAGTATACTATCAAGATTCCAATAAGCAAAGCAAGTAGAGATTAAAAGTAAGCACAGATTATTGGTGCATGCTTATTAATCTGCAGTGAAAATTAATCTTTATATTGGCTTATATTTCACATGTTGTACAATTTGATACTTAAATGATATTTTAAAAAATGCTTTATGTTGGTATGGCTGGCATCCGTCTCACTTTAAATCCCATAGCACCTTCCTGTAGAATCAAAGGCTCTTTTCAAAGTTATAGTCCCTCTCAGGGATGTGCCATCTAATAAGCAAGTTAAGCCTTGTACTTGTTTGCGATTCTGTAGTGGACTAATCTGTGAAACTGTTCCCTACAGGTTAGTGAGTTAAGCACAAGTAAACCTGTGCTTGCCTTGCTTCTCTTAGGAAGTTTCATGGAATACGAATCTTTTTTTTTTTTTTTTAAACATTTTATTAGGGGCTCATACAACTGTTATCCCAATCCATACACACATCAATTGTGTAAAGCGCATTTGTACATCGTTTCTCAAAACATTTTCTCTCCACTTAAACCCCCGACATTAGGTCCTCATTTTCCCGCTCCCTCCCCGCTCCCCCCTCCCTCATGAGCCCTTGATAGTTTATAAATGGGTATTTTGTCATATCTTGCCCTGGAATACGAATCTTTATAGATATATTCCATGAAGAAAGACTTTTGTGAACAAATGCTTGTGGAGAGAGAGCACTCCTGAATAAAACTCTCTATCCATCCGTTAGCCCTGAGAAGTAGGAGCAACAAAAGTCGTCTCACACTGTATTTGGAAGCTTCTCAAGCTCTAATTTTGTTTGTGTGTGTGTGTGTGTCTCTTAGGATTGTCTCCCCCCCACCCAAATTTTATTTCTTTGATTTTTGTTGAGACTATGCACAGCAGCACGTTCAAGTCTCCAGTTTCTGTGGGTATAGTTGAGTGACATTAATTACATTCTTCTAGTTGTCTTACACCCTCCTTCCTCCATTTTCTCAGTTGTTCCTGTCATTAACATAAGCTCATGTCCCCTAATGTTTCTATCTAATCTTTGATTGTCACTTGGATTTCATACAGATCGTTCTTAAAAGAAAATCATGTCAAAGTCAGACAGACATTTACATTAAGTGGTATTTGATTTTAGGAAGACATGGTTTTAGGTTTAAAGATTGTCCTTAAAAAAGAAATACATCTTCAAGACTTCCACGAGAATTGGAAAATTCTATTCTGTGTTTTTTCCCTTTTGATGAGTCTTCTATAGAATATTTGTTCAAAATATTCAAAATGGTACCCAAGCACTATCTATTTCTTTTGCTCTCATGGCAAGGGAATCAGTTAATACATAAAGATAATGAAATAACTTTTTAAAATCTATTTTCCAAATGGATTTGGCTACAGAAACCACGTTTATTTTTATTGTGTGGCATCGAGTCAATTACAACTCAACGGTGGCCCAATAGGACGGAGTAGAAGTGCCACATAAGTTTCCTTAGCTCTCACACACATAGAACATGTTATCAGGAGGGACCCTCCCTGGAGAACCCCCTCATGCGTAGTACATTGTCACCAACAGGGAAAGGCTCAATGAGATGCCTTTCTCATAGTGTCTGCAAAAAGGGACCCAAATGTAGTAACAACTGTGAGGGTGAAACAGAACCAAGCCTTGTTTACTTCGATTGCACATAGGTTCATGATTCATACAAGAATCTTTATGGGAACAGATTACTAGGTCTTTTCTCCCTGTAAGTGACTGATAAGCAGCTTTCTGGTTAGCACCCTACTGCTTTAACCATTGTGCCACTGAAATTCTTCAAACCTTTGATGATGGAAACAGCATCTTTGAAACCAAAACCACACTTAGGGAGCTCAAGTTAGGGAGGCTACATTTGAAAATGTGCAAGGCTCTCTTAGCACAAGACAGATTTTCCTAGAAGCGTATTTTGTAATGTTGAGAGTAAGATCAAAGGTACTCCTCTGAAAATTGGAGACTCTTCATTGCTACGGGGGGTAGAGGTGATGTGATAAAGAGAAGTGCTGTCGGGTGATAGTGCGGACTTAGGAAAGGATCCAGTAACTAAAAAGTACTTTGTCTCAGGGTGAAACCCAGCCTTGGAAATAGAGGCCATGAAGAAAAGGGTGGTGGTGGTGATGGTACTGTTTTAAGGGTTGATGATTTCAGATGCGAAATTTAACTTATTACTCTTTTGCTTAGAGCACATAAATTGTACCATCTTAGCACAGGAGCAGGATGAAATGGTTGCTCACACCTGGCTTTGTTAATTTCTGTTTTTCAGGCCTTGAAGCAGAGGCCCCGGTTTGTGGCCTTAAAGAAACAGCCGGCATATTTAGGAGGGGAGAATCTGGAGCTCCGTGATTATCAGCTAGAAGGTCTCAACTGGCTTGCTCATTCCTGGTGCAAGTAGGTAGAAAATGTACTTGGAGTTTTACTTACTGTTTCTGCAATCTGTGTTAATTGTAAATGCCTACTTCCAAGCGACTTGATGACAGTAGTGAATTTTTCGAGTTGTGTTTATTATAGAAATTTGTAAAAAGACATGATTAAGAAGTCTCTTGTGATTTTTAATGCATATATAGTGCACCATTTTACTTTACAGTTAAAAGTACTTTATTTTGTAATACTTTTGTTTTACATTAAGTTGTAATCCATACTACAATCCAATGCTGCAATCCTTGATCTTCATCAGCAAGTGTCTCAAGTCATGCTCACTTTCAACAAGCAAGATCATGTCATCTCAATGTCCCCTTCCTGACCCACAGCACTACGGGGCCAGCACTGGACACGCTGTCTGAATTGTGCCCAGTCTGACAACCCCTCCACCGAACCCAGCCAGGGTATAACATGAAGGGAACACAACAGAGCAGCAAGGGGAACAAAGCAACAAAGTCCCCAATAAATCGTGAAAGTAGACTGAGGTGGCCAGATTTTAACACTGGTAAAGTGGGATACCATTGATAAAACCCATATCCTGACAAAATAGCCACGTGGCAGCCGAAAACCATATACCCTAGCTTGTCGTGCATTCTTTCCAAAAATCGGGACTTTTTAAAAACGCCGCGGGACGCGGGAAAAATTGTTAAAAATCGGGACTGTCCCGCCAAAAGCGAACATCTGGTCACCTTAAAGTAGACTTTGGGCTTGAGGAGAAGGGCTTGGCACTGCATCAGACTCAATCAAAAAACATTCATAGGGATCAGCAGACAGACCTGGAGCTATTTATTCCGTTATTGTTTTGTTGGTTTTTCCTTTCTTTTCATGTCTATACAAAGTAGGCAGGAAAAGCAATCCTGGGGTGAAAACAATGGGACTGGTGATTCTGGGGGGCGGGACAGGAGAGAGGGGGAGGTGGGGAAAAGGGAGTGGGGGGCCAACAAACCCTGGGACAAGGGAGCAATAAGAGATCTAAAATCAATGGCGACGAGGGCATAGAATACCTGGTGGGGTTCGATCAAGTGCAGTGTATCCAAGAGGAAGTACAGAGAGCTAAATGAAGGTTGAACATTAAGAGTAGGACAGGAGGAATGTAAAAGGAAATAGAGGAAAGAATTAGGCAGAAGACATTTATAGAGGTATAAACATAGGCATGTACATATGTAAATATGTAAATATATGATGATAGGAATATGGTCTATATACATATATTTATAGGTTAAGTATTAAGGAAGCAGATGGACATTGAGCCTCTACTCAAGCCCTCCCTCAATGCAAGAACACTTTGTTCCAATAACCTGGCATTCTGTGATGCTCACCTTCCAGAAGACAAAATGGGTGCATAAGCTAATGTGAAGAAAGCTGATGGTGCCCAGCTATTAGAAGATATAGCATCTGGGGTCTTAAAGGTTTAAAGTTAAACAAGCAGTCATCTAGCAGGGAGGCAACAAAGCCCACGTGGTAGAAGCACACCAACCCATGTGATCATCAGGTGTTGACAGGATCAGGCATTAGAAGACCCAAAACAAACAACCATATCGATGTGAATGAGAAAAGACCTAAAACAAACAGTCATATCGATGTGAACAAGGAGCTTTGGAATGGAGACCCAAAGTCCATCTCTAGAAAATTGGACAACCCCTCACCGAAGGGTCATAAGGAAGGGACGAGCCAGCTTGGGTGCAGTATAGCACCCAACATTCCTCTAGTTGTTTAATGCTTCCTCCCCACACTGTCATGACTCTAGTTCTACCTTACAAATCTGGCTAGACCAGAGCATGTACACTGATACATATAAGAGCTCTCAACACACGGAATCCAGGACAGATAAACCCCTCAGGACCAATAATGAGAGTTGTAATACCAAGAGGGTATGGGGGAGGGAGTGGAGAAGGGGAACAAAGGAGGAACTAATAGCAATGATTGACGTCCCCGGGGGGACAAACGACAGAAATGTGGGTGAAAGGAGACAGCAGACAGTGTAAAATATGGAAATAGAAATGATTTATAAATTACCAAGATTTTATGAGGGTTGGAGTGGAGGGCAGGGAAAGGAAAAAAGAGCTGATAACAAGGGTTCAAATGGAAAGAAAATGTTTTGGAAATGATGAGGGCAACATATGTACAAATGTGCTCAATAACAATTGATGTATGGATTGTTTATAAGAGATGTAAGAGGACGATGTCCCTGATTAGAGCAGCCAGTCCACAGAGAGGACTACATGGCTGGCCCCACTATTAGACATGACGCCCCTCACTGGCCCATAGCCCTACAGGGGACAACACTGGAGACACAGTGTGGGAATTGCACCCGATGTGATCCCACCACAC